GCCATGGTTCTCAGCAGGAAACCGATGGACTGTCCACTCCGAGTAGGGAATGAGTCCTTACCCCAAGTGAAGGAGTTCAAGTATCTCGGGGTCTTGTTCTCGAGTGAGGGAACAATGGAGCGTGAGATGGGTCGGAGAATCGGAGCAGCGGGAGCGGTACTGCAGTCGCTTTACCGCACCGTTGTGACGAAAAGGGAGCTGAGCCAGAAGGCAAAGCTCTCTGTCTACCGGGCCATTTTCGTTCCTACCCTCACCTATGGTCATGAAGGATGGGTAATGACCGAAAGAACGAGATCGCGGGTACAAGCGGCCGAGATGGGTTTTCTCCGCAGGGTGGCTGGTGTCTCCCTTAGGGATAAGGTGAGAAGTTCGGTCATCCGGGAGGGACTCGGAGTTGAACCGCTCCTCCTTCGCGTCGAAAGGAGCCAGTTGAGGTGGTTCGGGCACCTAGTTAGGATGCCACCTGGGCGCCTCCCTAGGGAGGTGTTCCAGGCACGTCCAGCTGGGAAGAGACCAAGGGGTAGACCTAGGACCAGGTGGAGGGATTATATATCTCTTCGCTGGCCTGGGAGCGCCTTGGGATCCCCCAGTCAGAGCTGGTTGATGTGGCCCCCGCGACCCGACCACGGATAAGCGGGAGAAGATGGATGGATATGCACAAAGACAGGGTCAATATTTCATTAACTTTTGCTTGCTGGCTACTTACCAGGATTTGCTGGGAGTTTTCCTGGTGGTTCTCGTCGTGGTGTTTCCTTTCTTGTTGTGGTGGCCACGTGTGGCGCAGAGAGAAAAGTAGATTTCCCATGAGCACACTGTATTTGCGCGCGATTGTTAGTGTAATTTGCTCAATGTCTTAAGTTGTTTTTAAAGATAAAGAATATTGATTTGGAATGAGTAATAATTGCAGTTTCTGAAACTGATCAGTATAATTAGCCAATTCTCAAATATGTTGATTGAAATGTACCAAAGGTATTAAGGAGATCTTAAAAATATAATTTGTTAGTCAAATACTCATTTATTTTTCGTGTAATCAACTTAATTAATAGTAATGATTTAAGACAAAATTAACTGTTGGATTTTTAGGCATTTATTTTGGTATGTCCAACTCAAACAATTACTTTGGTGATATTTATAGATTTGATTAAGGTAGTATAGCTTTTTATTATTGTGATATTTACAAAGCCACTGAATTAGCTTTTAGAGTGTAGAAAATAAACGTATCTGGCTGTTTCAGCACAAGGCTCTGCGCCCAACCAAGTGGTGAACAAAGAGCAAATTGTGTATCATGTGAATGCAGCTTTCCACATTCTGTAATGCATTAGAGTTTGCTGTGCCACTCTACAGGAAGTCCGTCTCCTTCAGAGTGTTGATCAGTGCTGTGTTTCCTTTTTAGTCACACAGAGGACAACACATCTCCCGACACCTCCCTCTTCAGCTCATTTCTCTCGGCTCTCTCCACATCCATGATGGTGAACAGAGGCTCCTGGGCTGTGACTGATCCGTGCCGGAGCTTAGCGGCAGAGTAGGGCGTGTGGATGAAGGTCTCAGAGTAATTTGTCTTCATCTCCGGGTCTGGACAGAACATATATTCATACAGGGCTGCAGCCAGAGTCCCACCCAGGGTTGGACCCACCCAGTAAACCTGTGTAAACAAACAAACAAACAAATAAACAAACAAACAAACAAAAACAAAAACAAAAACACACACACACACACACACACACACACACACACACACACACACACACACACACACACACACACACACAATTATTATTATTATTATCATAATAACAATGAATTACGTTCAATTAACAATTAATAACTAACTAACAGATTAACTAACTGACTAACTAAACAACTAACTAAACAACTAACCAACTTACTAACTAACCAACATAAATTGCATATATTAGTGTATCTGAACAACGATTCTCTATTCAGGTCACAACTAAAGTGGGCGGGGCTTACACTGGAAGTAATTGGAATTGGTCTGATCTGCTTAATCTTCTACTATTATGACAACACACAATGACACAGTACTAATGAGTTGTCAGGATACGAGAGAAGAGAGGCATGTGAAAAAAACAGACAAGAGAGGCATGTGAAAAAAACAGACAATATTCAATGACATTTTACTAATCCTCAGCACAGTGTCAGCTTTTGGAAAAGCTTCACACATTTACTGTTGTGTAGTTTGATGGATTCAAAGTATTAGTATTTCTGTATTGAGAAAAAAAAAAGTGCATACCCAATGATGCTTATGTACATTATATTGATACAAAATAAAGTATTAGTTACCCAATGGTGATCCCAGCTCCATGTGACCATGGCTGGGCCAAAGGTCCGTGCGGGGTTCATACTGGCTCCAGTGTAGGGAATCTGAGGAAACAACCCAGAATACGTTTTTCTCTGATCTGATACATTGATGGGCAGGATTATATTAGTGCCTGTCCATTAATCAAACATTTAGTATGCCATAGGAGTCCTCAACCTCCTTTGATGCTGTTCCAAATAAATTGAATTATTTCTGTTTTAAATTATTAATTTCTTTCTTATTTTGACAAAATCCTTAGTCATAAATCAGATTCAGAAGCCAAAAGCAGAACTATTCCGAGCTGATAATCGGTATATATCATTGCGTTTAATCTATAGCTGAATGTTCTAACAAAAAAAGCAATGAGCCTATTAGCTATTAGCTTTAAAAGGATGTTATCTCCTTATTTCTATGTCTATTACAATATTACCTCCCCTGTCATTTGTGTTAACACAAGTCATTACAAAAATGAAGCTGTGAAACATGTTGTTGATAACGCAATCTAAGCTATAATGTGACGTCCTATTGCTTCCTAGGTTATTATGTCTATCGCTATCTCTCAATCTACTTACAGTAACAACTGGGTGAGTGTTGTGTACTCACAGCAAACAGGTGACCAATGACCACAGACAGACCGATAGCCAGAGAAGAAGAACCCTTTAGGTCGTTGCGTTTGTGGTCGCAGGTAGCAAACACAGTGAAGACCAGCTGAAAGGTGATGAAGAGTTCCACAACCAATGCACTGCCCGCGGAGATGCTTGTATGCACCTGTTTTGGAAACACACAAGCATCATTGATATATAAATACAACACCCCTTTTTACCTTTTAAATGAGCTCTGTAACATGATATAAGACATGTAGAACAAATTGCATTCTGCCTTTATTACAGTTTTTTGTATCATAAATATCTTTCTGAATTTTTTTAAATAGACTTGATGCTGTCCGGATTATCCAGAATAATTGTCAATTCATTTTAGAAAAACCTTATTTAGGAAAAAAGTCAAGTATTATGGTTTGTAGGATATTAAATATTCCCTCTGAGTGAGGAATTGATTAAATTACAATTACATTATTTATACTTAATTGATCCCAATTTGGGATTTTCTTTTGTCACAACACCATGTTAAACATTGAAATACAAATAAATAATATATAATACATATCAACAGTAGAAATAAATACACAAATATAAAATAAAATAATACAAAATAGGTCAAATATATAGAAATTAAATTATGAAAGCAGAAAAAGGAACAAAACATTAAAATAAATATACAGTACATAGTTATATGGAGTATCTGTCAAATACCCAATCAAAATAACCAAAAGTTAAAATACTGTATGATATGCCAAACTTCTACTAATATAAACATAGGTGAAAACATGATCTTGAAATGAGCAGTTCATTGTTAGTCATCGCTTAAATAAATAAAAAGTAAAAACCGTGGTGACCCCCAAGCCGCCCCTGACAGAGGCTGGAGTGATGCCGTACAGAATGGCGGCCCCCACAATGGACCCCAAACACTGGGCCAGCAGGTAGAAGATAGCTTTAGACAGACTGATCTTCCTGGTCACCACCATGGCTGCTGTGACCGCTGGGTTAATGTGAGCCCCGCTGATGTGGCCGAAGCACTGAACCATGGTGGCGATACTTAGGCCAAAGCAGAGCGAGATGAGCACCAGGTCAGCGGGACGGGGGTCCTCCGTGATAGCCCCCCAATTAATGGTTGACCCGAGGCCGAGCAGAACGAAGAGCAGCATAGCGAAGAACTCAGCACTGACGCAGCGCCAGAACTCCTGAGTCCATATGTCCTTGAAGGCAGTCATGGTTTTGTCTCGAGAGCACCAAGATGGAGGCTGGAAGTTACAGCGTGGTGTGCTGCAGGGGAAACAACACCTCCTGAAAGGCAGGACAGGAAGGCCAGAAATAAATAAGAGACACCAAGGTATGAGAGGGGTTCTTACCACCAAATGGAGAAACAGCCATAATCACAAAGTAGAAAGGACAATTAATACAACCGCTTGGGAGTTGTGTCACTTTAGTGTTAGTCACTGCCATAGCCCCCACTGTGTTCCGTTTAATGTTGACTTGATGCATGTCATCTTAAATGTTGCAGATTTCTTGTCTGTCCAGCTTTCATTGTTTTTAAAGGTCACCATTATGCAAAATCCACTTTTTCATGTCTTTTATAAATAAATATGTGTCCCCTCTATGTAAAGAGATTCTGAAAGTTTCAGGAAAAAAGATTTGCTCACTTTTTCTCCTGATCCATTTAATATAAAAACCTGTCTGAAAATGAGCTGATCAGATTTTGGCCACTTTATGATGTCATAACGTTTTTTTGGCTTGTGTGAAACCATTAGCCAATCACCACCAGGTAACCCCGGCCCACCTTATCACCTGAATTATCCTCCTCGTAGCACCATTGTGTTATTTTTAACCAAATCTCTCAGAGGGGCGTGGGGAGTGGCTCCTTATTTTCATCCAAAGTAACAGACAGAGAATCAGCACTTTTGAAACAGGGCTGAAACAGAGGGGATTATATATCTGTTTGGTATTTCGAGCCAAACACTTCAATGACATGTTTTGTATATATATATATCTGAGACCGATAATATATTGATTAAAAAGAGTGTAATAGGGGACCTTTAATACTGCTTGTGGGTTGTGTCACTTTAGCGTTAGTCACTGCCATAGCCCACACTGTGTTCCGTTTAGTGTTGACTTGCCTGTTATCTTAAATGTTGCCGATTTCTTGTTTGTCCAGCTTTCATTGTCTTTAAACTTGTGGTGTTTTTTCCACACTATTTTCTTGTTTGTTGTTCTCTCTTTTTGTGTTTTTTACGGGGGGCTGTTCAGCCATCATCAGTCCAAAGTTACCTGCTCTCCAAATATAGACTTCTAAAACTAACATTCACTTTACCCATAAGACCCTTGAGAAAGCAAATGGTTGTGTAATAAATATATATTTCAAAACAATAGTTTGATTTTGCAATCATATTTAGGATCCAGAGTGTATCATAGCACAGAGGCTGCAATGGTGAAAGTTACAAATTACCTTTTAATTGCATTCCAATCAAACCGCGTGCAAGCTTGGAGAGCCAGACCGCAGTTCATTTCCTCCTATTCCAAACGAGAAATTACGGTTGCAAATCACCCGGTTCTTTACGACCAGAACTATTTACCAGGATACAAACCGGAGGAACCAGGCATGGAGGGAGGTGGCAGAGACAGTGGGTTAAACTGGTAGGTTTTCGCCTGTTTGGGGAGTTTATATATATATTGCTCACATAAAATCCCCGGGGTTTTTTGCTTTGTATATCGGGGGCGGGAGATTCATGTGATTGGTTGTTGGTCGCGTTGCTCGCAAAAAATCCCCAAGCTCTCAGACACGCCCAGCTCCAAGATATACAAGATTTTTTCAAAGATGCTGAGTGGACGTACCGTAACAGCTGGCGAAATTACAGCCTCGCCTACTGATTTTAATTGAACCATATATCGAGCCCGATTGTCGATTTCAAATGTGTGCTCTAAAATGATATTTATAAATGACCATTATCATTATTATAAGCAAGACAATAAATGGCAAAGATATGTAGAAAATAAACGTATTTAAGATACGTTCATAACAAACGTAACGTGGGAGAAAATACGTTTCTTGCTAAACGTCATTGAGAATGCAGTTTAGTTCTGTGGGAACGTAATTTTTAGGAGACAGGGTTGGATAATACCCCAACAAATATGAATGGGTTAATTTAGCTATATTTGTATCATTTAATTTATTTAATTGAATCCGATGGTGTGCCACATAAGAACAACCCTCATTGTTTACTACAGAAGAAGGTTATCATTTCAGCTTGTCTGGTAAACATCTCTACATTTAGTTACACATGAAAGCCAATTTAATGTCTGTGGCACACATGATCTACTTTGCTATTCATTAAGAGCCTCAGAACGGTTTATTGTAGATTATAGTGCTTTCTTTGTCCCTTTGATTAAACTAGGAACAATGTTGCCATCACAAGACTAGACATTTCATACGCTAACCGTGTATCCGCCTCGTCACTGCTGTAGTTCATGAATGGGAGCACAAACACAATGCTACTCAACTGATGGTTCATTCTGTTTTTTTCTGATTATTATGAAATACTATTGCCTATTATAATATATCATATTGCCTATTATAATATTACTATGTGTCATTTTTGGAAGGAAGGAATAACAGCCGCAGTAGTAAGAGTAGTACAGGTGCCACCCACTCTCATTATTCAATCAGTACTAATACTTATTATGCATCCCATCATAGTATTTTCTTTATAGATGAGTATTTGTCATTATTATTGTTGGTATTCATTAAACTGACACCAGTTCAACCACTGACTCATCATGGCTGTTTGTGCTTAAATCTATAGTAGACCATGGCCAAACATTTTTTAGATGAGCTTGAAATATCCACATAAATAAATGGCAACCAAATCAAAGCTACTATTTATAGACAACATACAGTATTAAAGTCTCCAAATACCAAAATACAATGACAAACATGAAAACTACCATACTTTTCAACACAAATAGTAATTGTTAATTTATTTTCTTTATTTTCTTTTAAAAGCAAATTAGATTTATATTATTTAGGCTTGATGCTCAGTAGCCCTGTCTGTCTCTGTCTCTGTCTGTCTCTGTATGTCTCTGTTTGTCTGTGTCTCTGTCTGTCTCTGTCTGTGTCTCTGTATGTGTCTCTGTATGTGTCTCTGTCTGTCTCTGTCTGTGTCTGTGTCTGTATGTCTCTGTCTGTGTCTCTGTCTGTGTCTCTGTATGTGTCTCTGTATGTGTCTCTATCTGTGTCTCTGTCTGTCTGTGTCTCTGTCTGTCTGTCTGTCTGTCTGTCTGTGTCTGTGTCTCTATATGTGTCTGTCTGTCTGTGTCTCTGTCTGTCTCTTTCTGTCTGTGTCTTTGTCTGTGTCTCTGTATGTGTCTGTCTGTCTGTCTGTGTCTCTGTCTGTGTCTCTTTCTGTCTGTCTGTCTCTGTCTCAGTCTGTGTCTCTGTCTGTCTGTGTCTCTGCCTGTCTGTGTCTTTGTCTGTCTGTGTCTCTGTATGTGTCTCTGTCTGTGTCTCTGTCTGTGTCTGTGTTATGGTACTCACCTTAGACGCTCCACAGCCCCGGCCCTCTCAGACATGACTCCCGGGCTTGATGCAGGAGAAGGCCTTTTATAGGGGGCTGTGTCTGGGGGGGGGGGTGTTATGTTTTGGGGGTTGGCCCTGCTTTAACCTGATCTGACCTGCTTTGGATCTGATACTAACAGAGGTAGCATCATCAACCTCAAGGAGTGGCATCACAACTTCACAGTTTTCTTTTTCAATAGCTAATAGTCAGACCTGAACCATGAAGAAATGTTACGTCTTTACTTCTGTTTTAATGAATGGATCTGGTCTCTATGCACCAGCATTATACAGTTTTCTGACATATATTTAGATTTATTGCAAATACAATTCAATACTGTGCAGTCAATATTGGGCATAATAGTCTCTAGTCTAGGCTCATTACTATTCATCTAAATAGGACTGAACGAAATCTCCCTAAAATTAAAAAATATTAAATAGATATGACCTTCATAAATATATTTCGATTGAAACATATTAAAAAGCAAACTAATATTTTAGTTTACTAGGTAATTTGTCCTTAGCATCCAACATCATGAAGATTGGTGTCCAGAAATGTTATGATGAATGAATCATATTCCAGTAATCTAGATTAGCGCTTTGAAATAAAATATATAGTGATATAAAATATCACTATATATAAATAGACTCAGTCGTATTGAATGATTTGATAAATTGATGATTTGCATTTTTGAGGATACTATTTCTGTTTTATACACTATATTTCAATGTTTTTGTATTGTTTACTATCTTGTTTTTTTTACCAAATGCTTTTATTTTGAAAGCATCAATCTGACAAGAGGCACTCAAGTACTGATTTATAAACTACTAAACACTACTGATTGTATGCCAGCAAGCCTGCACCGCATGTTGTCAGTATTATTGTTTAG